ATTAATTCTTATTTTAGATGGCAAAACGTTGAGGGAGGAAGGAGGAATTAAAACAGATACAAGACATTTGCGAAAACCGATACAAGATATTACTTAAAAAACAGCAGCTTTTTTAAAAAAAAAATCTGTTGCATTGGTGTCTTAGGACGTGATTTATTGAAAATTACTATGTCACAAGTTATTGCAAAAAATCTCTTAATATTTCTATATAGAGATTTTTTGCAATAATTTGTGACTTGTGTGTACAAACGCCAGCACATCAAGCTACACATTAACGAATCTTGTTCCGTTGCACTGGAGGTGATTTTCAAACAAAAATGTGTAGTCTGATGTGCCGTTGTCCGTACCTGTTTGGTCAGAAGTGCCAATAAAACCAGAAAAATTGGTTATTTTTTTTTCAGATAGAGACTGATTTGATTTCAGTGTAACAGCATACAAAGTATAGTTTTTGCGTTTCATTTGTAATAAATATTCACGGCATTTTAAATGTAGCAGACTTGTAGTTGTGCTCATATTTAAAACATAATATACGACCTATTTCTAAAAACTACATTAGATACATCAACAAAATGGACCAACATATTGAACTCCATATTAGTTACAGCAAAATCACTTTTTGAAAGTTGTGTGGTATTTTATTGCACCATACAATTTCGATATACAGCAAAATTGCTGCTTGGTTTTGAAAACGCAATTGCTGTAACTTGTATAAAACCCATGTTACACCAATTTTAGAATAATTTCGTCAATGGTATTTGATGACTGTTCCGTTTATTATATAGCACACTTTAAAATTGACTTTCTACTAATTCAAATTAAAGAGAAATAATTTTTTTAAATAGTTTATCGGCCCTGGTGTAAAGTCCTATTTTTCGAGATACGACAAGATCGCTTTCCGGCGTCGATATTTTAGATTAGATGCATTTCGACGTTGAAAACACAAACATGTTATTGTCTTTGTTTAACTAATGGGTGCTGTCGTAAGCCTAAAGAGATTTTACAGCATTACATAGATCTGTGCCTAACACGGGAATCGAAAATACGTTACGTAATCTTAAATGTCAACTGTGTCCATTTTGCAGTACATGATACGGTTGTCAAAGGGGAGTCATATGTCAAAACAAATGTTTTACCAAGTGTTTTATTAAATTATTCGCATTAATTGTAATAAAATGGACAAACATAAAATCAATTATAATGTAATCATACGTTTATTTGCTTAAAACATAGTATAACAGAATATGTATCAAGAGACAGTGATAGTACACACATGTTCGGAATATATTAAATAGCATATAAATGTCTGATTGTATACAATGTCAATTGACTACTATTGGTCGAGCGCCTTCGATGTGTACAGAAAAACAGACACCTCTCCGAAGTGAGCCAAGTGGTCACGACCGACTGCGAGTTGCGATAAGCCACACCAAATGAACTCTATACACTGTACACATTGGCGCTCGTCTTCACTCCGTCAGCTAGGAGAGTGACACCGAACGATGGCAAGGCAAGGCAAAATACGTTGATAATTGGCGTTCACCCGGCAACGTTGGACCAACATGTCACTGTATTGTTGGCTTTAGAAAATAGTAATTTTTAATGGTTAGAGTTGTCAGTGGGAAAAAATCGGAAACGAGTGGATAATTTTATTTTCAGGAACTAAGAGTGCAGTAAAGAGTATAGTAAATGAGTCTTGTTTAATCTAAATTAATTTTACAATTATTTACCAAGAAACCTAATGATGGAATTGCATTTTCATGTAATCTAGTTACATTCAAAGTTCTGTTAAGTTATCACTCATCAAAATGCAAGCGAACAAATGAAAATGGTCTTTGATCCAATCTTTATATTCGGCAGTCATAGATTTCCAACCATTCTTTCTTTCTTGTTTCATTTGTAGGTTAACTTGATATAATAAATTGAATAAAAATAAAATAATAAAAATCTTGTACTGGATTGTTTTAATAACAGAATATCGATAACATGTATGCTTACAAGAACAACACTATCTCAAAATAATCATTAACAACAATCATCAAAATATTCAAACAAACAGGATATCTGAAGTAACCAAATCAAAATCTGTTAAGATTTTTAGATAAACAACTTAAATAAGTCTAATTACATGTGATATTCGGGCTATTGTGTGATTTATAGCCAGAAAAATAACACATGTCTGTGCAATGTAACATTCGATTGGATTTCGCTTTTGCCAATGCCACATCCCTTGATGGTGCAGTGACGTATTTTTATTAATACCTAATTAGGTATGCATTTGTTCTCACTGTCAATATTTTTGTCCATTTTATTACAATCCATGCGAATAATTCAATAAAACAGTTGGTGAAACATTTGTTTTGACATTTGATGTACTTCCCTTTCACAACGGTATCATGTACTGCGAAATGGACACAGTTGACATTTAAGATGACGTAACGTATTTTCGATTCCCGTGTTTGGCACAGACCAATGTAATACTATCTCTTTAGGCTTACGACAGCACGCAGTAGTTAAACAAAGACAATAACATGTTTATGTTTTCAACGTCGAAATGCATCTAATCTAAAATATCGACGCCGGAAAGCGATCTTGTCGTATCTCGAAAAATAGGACTTTACACCAGAGTCGAAAAACTATTTCAAAAAATTATTTCTCCTTAATTTGAATTAATAGAAAGTCAATTTTAAAGTATGCTATATAAGAAACGGAACAGTCATCAAATAGCATTGACGAGCACCCTCACCCTTCAAAATCGAAACCGCCAGGCAGTAATGCTCACATTACTACTTAGCGGCAGGAATAGGTGAGGTGGCAGTATCTTTCTGGACGAACTCTTTCACAAGGAGACCTACTGCTACAATACGTTTATGCGATGGACAAGGCTAGCGATATGAAATTGTGTATATTATAGCTGCTATGCTTGTCATTTAATCATCACAGCAAATATTGTAATTCTTTTCATTGCATCGTTCTAAAACAAAAACAAAAAATGGCGTTTTTGTAGTTACAGTTTTACATAAATTATTTTTTTGAAGTTATTATATATGTATTTCTAATTACTTTCACTTATGAAACTGTATTAAAAATGTTATCTTCACCTTTTTCCAATTATTAATATGCAACAACCTGATTCTTTTTATTGTTTCTGTTTATTCGTTAGTCGTGTTCAATTTTTACGTTGATAAAATTACCGTGCAGAACTGTCAAAATGTTTTAATATGAGATATGATTTTGCGGCCATGTTTGGCACTGTGATATTCTTTTATTGGTTAAGATGCGCACGGCGCATCAAATATATAACGTCATAGTGTTCGCCATGTTTGTTGTTGTGACATTGTTTTAAAATGGCGGTTTTATCACTTGAATTTGACAGCTAAATGTGGATATAATAGGTTTATGGCAGCGGCATGCTACGGACACTGGTGGTTGTCTGACAACAAACAGACAAAAAATTTATCTTTTTTTATCATTAGTTCATCAAGTTTACCCAGAACACCTAGGTCAAAACCAATTTAGATTTTTTTTAATTGGTTTTACCTGGAATCAAACCCGCGACTACGGAATTCACTCCGCAACACTACCCAGAACACCTAGGTCAAAAATACTTTTAAAAAGTTTATTTCCCAAATTTGTTTTACTGGGAATCGAACCCTGGACCAAGCTACGGAATTCAATCGGCGGCACTACCCAAAACACCTAGTCCAAAACCACTGCAGAAAAGTTCATTTCCAAAATTGGTTCTATCGGGAATCGAATCGGGGACCAAGAGCTACGAAGTTTGCTCCGCGGCACTACCCAGAACACCTTATTTTTATGATAACAACATTTAACGATTTAAAAACCCGATTTAAATTTAAAAAAAAACCAAAACAAAACCACGAAATAACAATTTTTTTTTTAAATAAAAATTAATTTTAAGTTGAAACACTTATAAGGCGGGACGTTGCTGAGGCTCTAGTGATGCGTTCAAAACGACACACGAACGAAAGATGGACGTAGTTACGTACTACGTGACTGCGTCCGCAACAAAGCTCATAATACGTAGTTCGTTGGTTGCTCTTACCCCTAAGGACATTCGGATCAACGATGGCCGTGCTTCGTTGGCCATAGGCAACGTCGGAACGGCTAACGTGAATGTAGAATGCAAGTAGAGTGAATGAAAATATCGGGTACTTTAATATAAGATAGATAAAAACCAAATTATGTTGTAAAATCAACATTTCACAAGAAATATGTTAATTTTATGTAAAATACTAATATTATAACTTGCAATATGCTATTACCAATATCTTTGCAATATAAAATATATTCTAAATGGTTAATTAAACATTATGAATTCAAAGCCATCGTCAAAATGACTACGTGTCACTACCATAAAGCATTTGTTTAAAAATGGTATCTGTCATCGTGAAAAATGACGACGAGATTTTGAAAATACAAATCGATTTCTAAAAATGTAGATAATATATATAATCCAACTAACAAATATTAAAAATATTGTGTAATAAATAAAGTTGAATGTGCACGCCATTGCTGACCAAATTGAAATGCTCCGAGAGTTCATGCAGACGCATTAATATTTTGACGTAGTCGTCTGCTACAATTCAATTCAATATTCTTTATTGCACAATAAACAAGCAAAAATACAAAACAATCAAAAATACAGTGTACAACAGGCGGCCTTATTGCTAAATAGCAATCTCTGCCAGGCAACCTTGGGGTGATAGGATAAACTAAAAGTAGTAATAATAATAGAGGGCGCAATAAATATGATATTATTATTAAACATCATAATATATGAATGAAATAAATAATAAATATCTACTAACATATAAATTACATAAATACTTAAATACTAATATAATACATACAAGTAAATATATTATCACCACAGAAGAGGAAAAATAAAAAATAAAAAAAAAACCAATAAATAAGACAGCAGAGTAGAATTTATAATTTAAGGTAATGAGCCTTAACTAGGATTTTAAATGACTCAATAGTCTTTGCTCGTCTGATCGACTCAGGCAGGTCATTCCACAGCTTGATGCTCCTAATAGTGAAGGAGTTGGAAAAGTATTTTGAGGAATGGATAGGACAGTTCAGAGAAAGAGTAGAAGAAGAGCGCAAGGTGCGACAGAGAGTACTACTATGATATTCAAAACAACTCTTAAGATAAGCAGGAGAAGTTGGATTAAAAAGGACAGTGTACAGTAGGGATAAAACGCGGAGATCTCTACGACGACGAATGGGTAGCCATCTAAGTTTCGAGCGAAAATCGGAGACGTGGTCAAATTTACGTAACCCAAAAATGAACCTAATGCAAAGATTCTGCAGCCGCTCTAGTTTGCCGAGGAGACATTCAGACAAATCAGGATAGCACGCATCTGCATAGTCCAGAATAGGCAAAAGGAGTGATTGTGCTAAACTGATTTTCGTCGGAATGGGAAGATAATTACCTAAACGCCGAAGAGACCCATGCGCAGCAAACACCCTCCTACTTAACTCCGTGACATGAGGCCTCCACGATATGCACTTATCGAAAATAACCCCAAGGTTCCTAACGGTGGCACTGAGTGGGATTTGAACGCTATCAAACGTGATAGGTGGCAGTAAGGAAGGATTAATACGCGTTAGGAACCAGGGGCTGCCAATGATTATGCATTGTGTTTTGGAAGGGTTGACACGGAGACCAAATGGTTGACTCCAGGTGAGAATCCTCTCAAGATCTATATTCGTAGCACAAATTGCGTCACGTAAGTTGGTTAGAGGGGCCTGTGTATATATTTGGAGATCATCTGCATAGAGATGGTAAGAAGAAGAAAGTGAAGAAGTGATGGAGTTAATAAAAATAGAAAATAGAAGAGGGGATAATACGCCGCCCTGCGGTACACCAGCAACAAACAATATTACACCACGAAGAGAATGAATCCTCGCAACGAATGCGCTGTCGCCGCCCATACAGGTAACTGCGGAACCAGCCAGTCACTGCCGGAGAAATGCCAAGAGAATCAAACAGCGCAAGCAACAAGTCGAAATCAACGGTGTTGAAGGCACTGCTGAAGTCCAACAGAGTAAGGACGGTGAGTTGATGATTCTCCATTCCCAGTCGAATGTCATCAGAGATTTTGACAAGAGCAGTAGTTGTACTATGTCCAGAGCGGAAACCGGATTGTAAAGGATTAAAAAGATTGTGACGAGTAAGGAAAAGGGTGAGTTGATGATGGACAAGCTTTTCAAGGACCTTGGAGAGGAAAGGGAGAATGGAAATAGGGCGATATTCAGAAAGGGAAGAGGGATTCGTTTTCTTTGGAAGAGGAATGATGTGGGCATCTTTCCAAGCAGATGGAAAGGTACCAGTGGAAATGGATGTATTAAGGATTTTGGTTATGACAGGAGTGAGGATATCAATGAGCGGAATGATCATATTACGACTAATGCTATCACAACCAACGGCATTCGATGAGATGGAGAGAATGTTCCTCTTGACATCACCAACAGTGAACTGGCTGAGTTCAAAAGAAGGAATATTAGATAATGGCAATTCAGAAAGAAATTGCAGAGTACTACAAGATCTGAAAGGAAACAAGTTAATCACCATATTATTTACGGGCTAGCAGGCTCCACCAAGACTAGCTCCAGCAAGTGCTAGTAGAAGGTATGTTTTAGATTTTGTGTCTTTGTTCTTATTTATAATTTCTAGAAAGTGACGCTCATCAATCTATGTTCAATCTATGTATTTGGGTATAGCCTCTTGGGCCTATCTTCTCTAAGCAAAAAAAATGTGCTTTGGTGGTTTTCATTACGCATACGCACGAGCATGTATTCATAAGAAATTGTATTATTTTGAGTTAATGTTTGCTTTTATTACGTTTTCAACAGGGTAAAGCAGCATGGCAGCGAAAGGGCGGAACTTGCTTCAGACAGCTGTACTTAGCTTGATAGCAGCAGCAGTTGCAGCATTAAATTGTTTTATAATTATTAAAATAAGAAAGTTTATTGTGTTCACTCGTTTATTCATTTTCTAACGTTACGTCAAATGCAAATTTTATATTTTACATAGTATGAGTCGTTAGTTTATGATTGAATACACAACTAGTTAAAAATTCAAACATAAGTTGCTCTGCAATACTAGAAATTATTTCAGGCCATTCAATCTCTTGATGGCGTCACTCGCAATTTCGTACATCTTAATTCCGTTACATATTGAACTCAATATGATGAGTCGAGTTGCCCATGTATAGAAAATACGTATGGGCATTTTACGGTGTGTTACTTCCATTAACGCATTACATTATTACTGGGCCATCTATGTTCATATATTGATAGCTACCTCACAGACATAGCGCAGTTCGTCGGTAAAAAAAAAAATTACTGAAGAATAAGAATAAGAGCAAGAGCAAGAACAAGAGCAAGAGCAGGAGCAGGAGCAGGAGCAGGAGCAGGTGCAGGAGCAGGAGCAGGAGCAGGAGCAAGAGTAAGAATAAGAATACATATATTGCTTAACTATAGGTATTGTACATAAGGTCTTAAAACATAACATTGGTTTGTGCTCTATAGTCTACCAGTTAAGGTATACAATATTATTTAAATGTCATAGAATTAAAATTACGTACACAATATGAGAAAAAAAATTAATAAACATGTCACATCGCTAATCACCAAATTTGTTTTATTCGTCAAAAAAAATCTTGTACACTATAATAAAGTTTTTAGAGCATTTTCAAATTTTATGTACTTGCATCTTTTAAATTCATTCGGAATGCTGTTGTATATTTTGACCGACATCACATAAAAGCTTTTGTGGTAAAATGCTGAGGTATGATTTCCCGAGTAGACTATTCTATGCCCATGTCTTAAATTTCTATGGTTCCTTTTATCTGTGATTTCAAAATATGACGGATGTTTCTGGACAAATGCAGCAACCTCCGTAATGTACAGGCAATGTACAGGCAGGGTAAAGGTAGGATTTTGCACTTGTCGAAAAATGGCTTACACGAATCCATTTGAGACCCACCGCAAATGATACGTACACAGCGTTTTTGTATCTTAAATACCTGCATAAACTCTACTGAGTTTCCCCAAAAAATTATACCGTAATTTTTAACCGACTGCACATAACCAAAATAAGCTGTTAAGGCCGCATCCACAGACGCACTCTGTACAAATTTTCTCAATGGGTATATAAACCGTGATGATTTGTTACACAAGTTGTCAACATGAACTTTCCAGTTGCAATTGCTGTCAAGGATACTTTTATTAAAACCATCGGTGAATTTGATAAAGAATATTTCCATTTACTTTACGCTAAATATTAAAAAATAATAACACGTTATAAAATTCACGTAAAATGTGCTCTGTAAATGTATATAACAATACCTACTACATGACTTGTCTAACAAAATTATACGACACAGCGAGATGAGTGTGGGAAAGGATATACTGGGCGTCTTGTTCTTAATTAACATACCTATCGAACATAAAAAACGTACAGTACCTATATTAAATTATGACATTTAAAAGATAAAGAAATGAATGTGTCTCTCAGTCAAAGACGTTGGCCAAAAGCATTATCGGTATGTTGTTGTACCATTCTCCGCGGTGCGTCGTCGCAATGACCGCGTCGAGGACGCGCAGCCGCAGCGGTGTCGACCGTCGGCATGAATTTATTCAAATTTATTACAATTGCCACTAAATAAATCCGTGTTCACACTCTACAATAGCGTTATTACAATACATGAACTTATATTCTGTGTTAACGAAATTAAGCAGTGCCGAGGACGTCACATTCGTAGCACCGCATTTCAATATCGATGCATTATTGTGCATTAATTCTGGCTCAACATCGTTCTACTGTTTACTTGTTTATTGATAAAGCTATTTGATCCACTAGTATGTTGTTAATGGATTACAGAGTTCCTGACTTGGCTTAATTAATTGTACACAATGACTACTTGTATAGGCATAGTGTCAATATCAATAATAATAACGCACACATATACGTAGACAAACACAAATTACACCCAAACCCACGAGAGAAATAAATGTAGGCCATACAAATATTTCTCCCACCCCGGGAATCGAACCTAGGACCTCTGCGTGGCAGTCCGGCATGGTAACCGTTCGGCCACGGAGGTAGTTATATATTAGTATAAGTAATATTAATGAATGCATGAATTCAAAGATCTACTTAAAACATTTATTTGATTAGCACATTTTTGCATCGATCACACCCTCCGATAAGAGTGCTATGGCGTTATATAACAATACTGAGAATCACAGGAGGCCACGTATAGATACCTTGTAGGCACGTGTTCGACCGCGTTTGCTAAATAATTCATTAATTTGTTTCCTTATCACTCGATCGGTTTTTTGCTCCGCTCATTTCGACACCTCCGATGAACACTGCGCTAACTTAATTTTTGTCCCTGTTTTAGCTTTATTTGATTTTTGTTTCTTTATTTTGTTTCACAAAATTTGTGGAGCATAATATTAGTAAATAATATGGCAGTTTACAAAAGTAACAGAATATGACAAACGAATAAAGTTGCCGTAGTGTTCATTCTAGGTATCGATTTGCTATTCAAACATGCAGTCGATGCGTAGGCGCCGCCAGCCAACTTCCTTACAATTTAGATACCATTTTGATCCCGCCCCTTGTCAGCGCCACAGACGCCCTTCGCCTACGTTCCATTCGATAGAACTGTTACCATTTGTTTTTAACGAGAACGGAACAATGGGAGTGAAATAAAGTAAAGTTTAGCTATTTGCAGGAGAAATGTCGCCCGTCCCGTCGCAGGCCGCGACGCCCACAGCGCGAGGCTCGAGGACATTTCAACTTTCCAGTTTTAACATTTTCATAATCAGTTTTGTCCACTATTCTGTTTTTCTTTGTGTGCCTTGGAAATATAACTAGGAAATAAAGCTACAATAAAGTAAAAGATTTGAGAATATTTTCATAATTGTAGTGTTGCATTTTGCGCCTTAATTTTCATCTTCATCTTCATCATCATCTGATCTTCATCTACGTATTGTTTTATTATTGTTACTAATCACATTTTTGCTGATGTTACGCAATTTGCAATTTCATATACTGGATATATTAACTTTTTCATTTTAATTTATATGGTACCATAACACATGACAAACTACAAATTATACTTAAAACTATTACACATGTAACATTTTAACTCACACATGTAATTATAATTGTACACTACATTCATATTAGAGAAATATTACAATAATAGAAAAGATATTATACAAAATAATGACGTTATTAATTTTTTGCATAACTAGAGTACAATGTTGTTTTAAACCACTTAATACTACAGAAAAAATGTCATTGGTGGGAACCATAGATATAGGAAAGTGGGAACATATGCTATTATACGATCGACTTATTCTGCATAATGGTCCATTTTATGAAATCTTTTTCTTCCTGTAAGAGGTAAACAACTGTAGAATATGCACAGACCGAGTAGGTACCCTAAAATGCAGATGTTCGATCAGCTGAGCATCTAGGGTAGAATTAAAATTTACACAAAGTAAATAGGTAACTTACCCCTTTGACGTCGAGGTGATCTTTAAGGCTCAACATGTTACATTTGCGTAAGCGATCAGTATAATTAGGCAGCTTACGCCGTGGTCTGAATTTTGCACTTACACGTCTTAAGAATCGATGTTGAACAGATTCAATTATTTCAATGTGGACGTCGTACGTAGGGGAGACCGAGGTGAGTTGTGACAGAGGAGAGTTGTGACAGTGTCGATTTCTCGAAATCTATGACCGCTAGCGGAGTGGCAACGTCGCGAATAAATTGTTTTTTCGCCGCGCCATTTTATGTATGTTGCGCCGACGGCTTGCAGGAAGCGCATGCGTGCACGCGACGTGAGTGGAAAAAAATTGTCAAAAAGTAAGTTATTGGCCAATATTTTGATGCCACATAATTCCAAACGTAAGCATATTATTGTTGTATTCTAAATTTAATTATATGCAGTGATGCTTCAAGTTTCATAAAGTGATATTGTTTTGTTAGGTTTGTCTCGTGTTTTGAGGTTATGAGCGATCATTCCTACCTAAGCATGATTTTCTGATCTTAGGAGAGTTGTGACAGCTTGTCACAACTCTCCTAGGTGCCTGTTTTTTATTCCTCGATAATGTTGTTTGTTGTAATTTCGTATGCTGTATGCCTATTTTATTGTTTCAGTATGCCTAACAAATATGTGCGAAAAACAAACAGGGGCATGTCTAGTTCCGAAATGTATGACTTGGCTTTTGAAGAGGTAACTTTGAGGGGCGAAAGTCTCCGAAACGCTGCATCCTCATACAACTTAAATTACATGTCGTTGCAAAGATATATTAAAAAGAAAACAGCTTATCAGGCTCAACTAACAGACAAATCGCCATCAATGGGGTATGCTAATCTAACGGTTTTCACAAAAGAGGAGGAAAATATACTAAGCGAATATTTGTTAACTTGCGCTGCATGCAATTACGGGTTAACAACCAAAGACACCAGAAAATTAGCTTATAAATTGGCAAAGGAGCACAATAAAAAATTTCCAAAGTCCTGGGAAGAAAATGGTATGGCAGGAGAGGTATGGCTTAAGCTTTTTATGGAACGCCATCCAATTTTATCTTTAAGGTTGCCACAGGCCACTAGCATAGCGCGCGCTACGAGTTTTAATAAAACTAATGTTGCAACTTTTTTCGAAAATTATACAGGTGTCTTGGCTAACACACACTTGACGCAAAAGACATTTGGAATGTCGATGAGACCGGGATTACTACAGTCCAAAAACCTAACAGGGTGATCGCGCGACGCGGTGAGAAACAGGTTAGTGCCATGACATCGGCGGAAAGGGGAACTTTAGTGACATTGGCTTTGGCTGGTAATGCGATAGGTAATTACATACCCCCTATGTTTATATTTCCTCGCAAAAGATTTCAAGATAATTTCATCCGAGATGGGCCAGTTGGATCAGTAGGAACAGCTAATGGAACGGGGTGGATGCAAGAAGATGATTTCCATTTTTTTCTTGAACATTTTAAGATTCATGTTAGACCATCAAAAGAGCAAAGAGCTTTATTGCTCTTAGATAATCACTCGTCACACATGGCTTTAAAAAACATCGAGTTTTGCAGAGAAAATGGAATAATTTTACTTACGTTTCCTCCACACTGCACTCACAAATTGCAGCCAATGGATCGTGCAATCTTTGGTCCTCTAAAAAGAGCTATTAATACTGCTTGTGATAACTGGATGCGCTCAAATGCTGGAAAAGTCATGTCCATCTATGATGTCCCATCGATAGCAAAAAGTGCATTTGCTGTGGCGATTACGGCAAAAAACATAAGTGCTGGTTTTGCTGCAACAGGAACTTGGCCTGTTAATACAGATATTTTTGGAGAAGCTGACTTTCTGCCTAGTCAAGTCACTGATCGCATTCAGACTGATACAATATTGATGGAAAATCATGGAGAAATGTCTGCCACTCCGAACATAACAGTTGAAATTGAAGAGAATGCTGACACGACATCAGGCGGCAGTCCATCTATTTTGACCTATAACGAGCTCTCAAACCACGAACCTATTGCCTCTACAAGCAAAGTACATGGTCCATGGCCCGCAAACTATGAACCTGTTGCTTCCACAAGCAAAGCTCATAGTCTACAGCCCGCAAAGAACGAACCTGTTATCTTGACATCTCGTTCCCCACTTGCCTCTTCATCCAATATATTTTCCCCAGAAGCACTTAGACCTTTACCAAAAGCTCCACCAAGAAAAAGAAGCCAACCTAATAAGCGCAAAGTTAAATCCGCTGTACTAACTAACACACCTATTAAGAACGAAATCGCTGCAATAGAGGCCAGCAGGAAGGTAAAAAATGTGAAAAAACGTGTCTTTAGTGAAGAAAAGAAAAAAATAAAGTAAATAAACAAATAAGAAATAAGAAAAAAGTAAAACCTGATGATGACGAAGAGGATGAAAATAGTTGTTTCTGTTTATGTTGCCTGGAACCATTTACTAATAGCAAAGCTAAAGAAAAATGGATCGAATGCGTCGAGTGTAAGGGATGGTCCCATGTGGCTTGCACTGCAGGAGAGCTAAACTATATTTGTCATAATTGCTTGTCCGATTAACCCGCGGCATTTGATTTTTATGCGTTTAATTGATCTCATAAAAAAATATTTTATTAATGTTAAAAGGTGATTAGTTTATCATTAGTAGAAGTTACTTTAATGGTTATCATAATAATTATACCAAAGGACAATTGAAAAAGTATTACTAGTCAAAACGTTAAGCCATAATTTAAATACTTAAAAATGTAGGCAGTGAAACATGAATATTTAAAAAAATGTATAAATACAGTTAATTTCAATTACTAATAATAGTGTTTTAATTCAATTTCTTTCCTCAAAACACCAAATGTCTACTGTCACAACTTACCTCGACCTCTATCACAAACCACCTTGGTACAAGGTGAGTTGTGACACGGGGAGTTGTTTTAGTTTTTTCGATTTTCTCATAAACTACAATTAGTTATATTTATTTTTATATTTAGTCTCAATAGCGAATACAACTAGTTAACTCGTGATTTATAGTTCGTAGCCGTATGACTTTTTAAATTTAAGATACGCCAGAAATTGTAAAAATTGTCACAACCCTCCTCGGTCTCCCCTAGTAAACGGACGCGCAATATTCCAAGACACTACTAACCAAAACTTTTATATTAATGAGCCTGAATTTCGAGATGATTCAGTGTCACGAAGGACAAAAGCTAACAATCTATATGAATATGAAATCGTGATGGGGCTTAAACGAAAACACTGCATCAAATATAATATCCAAGTAACTTACAACACTTTCTCGATGCCGTACACTACTGCGTGATTCAATGTCTTCTTATTTCTGGTGAAACTAATGACTAATAACTTGACATTATTTTACTTTGAAAGTCATACAATTGTTGGTACGTAAGCCAGACAATCCTTCAAGTAATTAATTCACAAAATGTCGTCAGCGTATGTAAGACACTCACACATAACCATGCTGAAAAGGTCATTAATGAAAGCAGCGAATATTGGAGGGCAAAGATTCGATCCTTGAGGTACACCCGATAGTGCAAGGCATGGAACAATATCGAATCCACCAAGGTCCACCGGCCGAGAACGGTTCATAAGGTATACAGCATATTTGATATTTACAAATCAATTGACACCTGAATTGCTGAAATTGATCTAGACCGAAATATAACCGTGATTTTATCTTTGTATGCTAGGTATATCTACTAACTAATCCCGTTGATGTCTTTGTTCGACCGGTTCCCCGGCGAAGATCGGTCAGGTGCACATCGGAAATAGTTCAGTATGTACGACGTACGGACATATTGTAATAATGTATACTTAATAACATATTTCACCTTAGGCAATAGTTCTCCATCAATTATTCTATTCGTTGTATGTATCATAGCATAAATCAGTTATTTTCTAAACTTGAACTTATTTTAAACGATAACGCTTTAGCAGCAGCAGATAAAGTTTTAGCTAATGTGTGGCATATATTATATAACAAGGTTTTTGATTAATTTCTTTGAATGCATTTACAATTACTCTAAAATTCGTTTTTCAATATTTTTGAGGCTCGTTTTTGTCGTATTTCGATTCAGTTGTCACATGTTTATGTTTTAAATGTTGATGAAAACAACAAAATTCATATTATTGTTTGCAAATGATTGCCAGTTAGCCGAAAACATACATTTATATGAAATATATTTGTGAAAATAGTAAACAAAGAAATACTATGAAGATCCACTATCATACATTGACTCTATATTTTTGACCCGATATTGACAAGAATTTAAATATTTTCAAAATTATTTCATATTCTATATGTATATAAGTGTTAAATTATCTATGGTGGTACTGAAACTAAAAATAATTGCTGAATAAACACCGAAGTCTCACTGTCTGGGATCATTTTTTACCTATTTGCTATGGAACCCTAAAAATCATATGAGGCTGTAGAACAGCGCCACGTTACGCCGGGGTAGACATGTTTCTCACATAAATCCGTGTTATTGTTCTGATCCGGGGCTGAGGGAGGAAGTACAAAAACAAACGACGGCGCAGCGAGTCGCGTCACGTCTGCGCGGGCGCACGTCGCGCCGCTCGACGTAAAAATCACATTTCCGGTAGATAAGGGCTCGGCTACGCAGCCTTCGCGCGCTGCGACCGGACTCTCAATGAGCGCAGCCGACAACCAGATTCAGCTCGTTGTGGTGTTCCTCACAAGCCACGACTCCATCACCTATACGTGTTCAAGCTATGTGCACAGCACCATTTCCGTGTCGAACCCATTGTTGCAGCATTTTCTATATCACGTATTCAAGAACAACCAAAGGATGTTTGCATTCATATAGTCAGCACTCAATACTAATAGACTCGGAGAGGGATCGCGCGAATATATCAGACAAACCTATGTAGGTTTAAGAGTGTGAAGACAAAATGTTTTTTTTTTTGAAAAAAAAAAAATATATATATATATATATATAAATATATAAAATATATAACCACCACCTGCCAAATGCAGAACAAACGATGTGTGCCGCTGCGAATGTTCATAAAAGAGGCTTTCGTTGATCACGCCACTTGGCCCGTACGCGTCGCTTCATCAGCGCCCCGCGCTTGCCCCGCGCCTGCGCCGCGCCTGTCCCGCGCGATCTGCGAAATTGACATTTGCATTCTCATTAGACGCACGCTCCTCGCGTTGAGTGTGGTGGCACACTAATCACGCAATTTGCGTATCCCGCTAACGCCAGCCCAACTCGACTCAGTAGCATATAACAGTCGCCATTTGCGCACTAAACTCGATTTAAATGCTATTCGCTTAACATAAGGTCACTTGTCGCATTTACTATGCAACTTTGATAGTTAACTAAGACGTTGGTAGATTAAGCTATCCCATTGTAATGCATGCAAAGGCGTGTGACCGCGGCAATTAGGTCGGGAAGGTGCCGCGAGGGCGAGGGGCTCAAGGCCCGATTAATGTCCGTCGCTGAATCGATCACTTAATTGAATCACGACCGCATCTGGCATGCGGAGAGACTGTAGTGGCAGCCACGAATGCTTAAGGAGTGGAATATCACCGAGACACGTGTGCCAGTGAGTAACTAGAAGCCCTTGTTCCGCCTCCGAGCTCACGAAAAGAAGCGTAGGTGTGAAGAGAAAAGAAGGTGTCGTCGACAAAAGACGCCGTTTCCACAATTTTCAATTCAAGCCACGTTATTAATAAGGAGAGAGGTCAAGCCTCGTGATCGGTGCGGGCGCGTTGCCGCCGACAAAATAGTCGAAAAAGGTAAGCGGTCGTGACGGGAATGTCGCTGATGTTACGCATTTCAGGCGCACTCATTGTATTTTAAACCGCTATTGTTTCGCATTTCGCGCCTGCGCCGTTGCACCGTGCCGTGCCAGCACAGCCAGCGCGACCCGCGTCTTATTTTACACTGATATGGTCGTCAGTCTTTTAATACTTACCTGCTACCTGCTGCCGTGGAATTTGAAGAGTACCTACGGGTAGCGAGGCTTAAGGGCGCCCGCGATCATTTGATGGTTTAACTGTGCCTCTACGGTCGCTCTGTGCGTGAGAACGCTCGTCCTATTCGATCCGCGTCGCGCTGCGCCGGCGCCGCACGACGCTGCGGACGCTACACGACACACATAACATTTGCTGATACCAATTGGCAGAATGAGGGGTGCTAGTACCAGACTTGCACACGAGGCCGCGGCAGCGGCGCGGCGGGCACGACACGCGCGCGATCAAGCGATAGCGCTCGCCTGGGAACCGTACTTTAGAGGCAACTACCTATACATCTACTCTTTTCCCTGAGAATACAAATTCATAGACAAGGAGTCTCAAATCTGTTGCTTACCATCTGACATCTGTTCACGAATCATTACCGTAACCTTAAAGCATCACCGTCCTTCTGAGGCATTAGAATTATGATAAACTTCGATTATAGCAAACTATAATGGATTATTTATAGACTTAAAAGTAAAAGTAAAGTTTGTTATTAGTAACATTGTCACACAATAATGTTACTAATAACAAACTTTACTTTTAGTTACATTATTTAAATCGTTCCATCGGAAACCGCAAATATTTACAATTTTTACAGATTATGTGACGCAACGCAACGGCCCGACCAGTGGCGAGGAGAACCATGAACAGTTCACGTTTAGTGCGCATTAGAAAATCACCACCGGTCTTACTCTCACGTCGTAGCGCGGACGTGTTTGTGCTCAAATTTGAATCGTAACCGCATAATTTTGTTTGATGCGCGAGAGATAAGCTGCGCTTTGAGCTCTCGCGCCGCCTCCGCTTCGCAGGCGCCGCGCCGCCACGTCGTCGTGGCGTAGACATCGAGTAGCAGCAGAGCAGCGTACTAGTTGCCACAGCTGTTGCTGTTGGCAAACGGCCGCTGCGCACACTGTGGATGTTATCCAATTCTAATTCCGTTCACACTTGTGCCTGTTGACAGATAAACAAATCAAGATGAATGATATCTCCAAGCGGCTCTTGCTTCCAACGCTTGTTTACTTTTTTATAGGTGTCATTTAGTGGTACCACAGATACTTACCTACTTGCTCTTTACATGATTGTAGTTTTTTATTGCATTCAATCAGATGAATTAAATAACATCAAATCTATAGTTTTCAATAACAAGTAGGTGTACCTATTATAACATTATACTAATTATACACCTGATCAACAATTCTTTAATAATAGAATGAAATTAATACTAAGCCAAAAACATGCAACGAAATGAAGTATCTATAAATTTACAAATATAAATAATATTGTAGGATATTATAACAAAC